TTTGATTGTTGGGGTTCTCTGTAGTACTGTAGGGTTTTGACCTTACAGTACAAACAGGGAGGAGACTTTGTGATTTGGTGCTTGATTATGCAAAATATCTAATTTGGCATAAAATAAAAATTTAAAATAATTAAAAATACATTCCAACTTTGTTTGTGTTTTTCTTCTGTTGTCAAATATGTAGAAAGTGTTGCACGTGTGATTTTAGTCATTTAGCATCAACATGTAGCCAACATGTGTCTGTTTGTCATCCTGCTGCATCTGTTTTTGTCTGATTTGTAATGATAATAATAATAATGATAATACTTTTTATTTATAGGCGCCTTTCAGACCGTCAAGGTCACCTCACAGTAGCACGTAAACAATACCATGAAAAACATAAGAAAAATGTATATATAGCAAACATGGTAGATAAAATTTAGACATAAACAGTCATAAAAGTATAAAAGCAAATATTAAAAACTGAGCAGGTAAAAACGGCTTAAGACAGATCAGCTGTATGCAATTCTAAACAGATGGGTTTTGAGTAGTGATTTAAAAGTATTGAGACAGTGTGTGGTCCGTAGAGCAACTGGAAGTGCATCCAAAGTCTCAGACTGAACAACTAAAGGCTCTGAGTCCCATGGTAACCAGGCAAGCAGGTGGAACTGACAGAAGGGAAGCTGAAGAAGAGCGGACTGTACGAAGGGGCGAGGATGTGTGGAGAAGATCGGATAGATTCTCACCGGGCTGTTTCTGTCTATCAGCTGTGCCCGCTCTCATTATTAGCTTTGCTATTGATTGTGAAGAGCAGGTAAAGCATCCAATCACCTGTGAGGATGGATGGATGTAGAGGAGAGACAGAGAGGCCTCTGCTTAACGTCTCTACTTTTTTCTGCTTTCAGGACAAAATGTTACCAGTGATGTCATCATCATCATCATCATCATCATCATCATCATCATCACTGTAACCCATTAGTCACATACTGACGGGGAGCTCAGCGCCTGTTTCTCAGCAGTGCGCACAGCGAGCGTCACACCGATGCCTGCGTGCTGCAGTGTGCTGGGATGGCTTGTGCTCTCCTGCACATGCTACAGTCAGCTGTCACAGACTTCACCGTCATGGGCAGTTTGTTCTGATGCATCTCTCCTCTGGATACATCTGCAGCTGAGTCCTCCCAAGCTTTTGCTCAGTAATTTCTATCAGAAGAGTCATTTGTTATCGCAACAGCAGGTTCTCCTTCAGCCTCTTGTCGTCCATCTGCACGGCCTCGCTGTTGAACACTTGCCTGAGCTCGCACTGGATCTTGGAGGCAGTAATTCATGCTGAATGTTGTTTTTACTGCACTGTTATTGCAGCGCATTTTTAGGTCACCCCGTGGTTGCAGCATCACAAATATTTGCAGCAAATCTGTTCAATTCAATTCAATTTTATTTATATAGCGCCAAATCACAACAAAAGTCGCCTCAAGGCGCTTCATAGATACAGAGAAAAACCCAACAATCATATGACCCCCTATGAGCAAGCACTTTGGCGACAGTGGGAAGGAAAAACTCCCTTTTAACAGGAAGAAACCTCCGGCAGAACCAGGCTCAGGGAGGGGCGGGGCCATCTGCTGTGATGGTTGGGGTGAGAGAAGGAAGACAGGATAAAGACATGCTGTGGAAGAGAGACAGAGGTTAATAACAGATATGATTCAATGCAGAGAGGTCTGTTAATACATAGTGAGTGAGAAAGGTGACTGGAAAGGAAAAACTCAATGCATCAAATCTGTCCGATAGAATGAAAAATGAAATCCATCTTATTTCCTTCTGTTTTGCTGCTGTGATCCAGCGGTGTCGCTTTCTTCCTCCCAGTTTAGGATTTCTGTGGCTGCAGTAAAGTTGCCTCCATGCATCACTGTACTGAGGTACCCACGGATCCCGTAGCAAAGCACATTGATGATGAAGAAGCACGCGTCAGTTCATCTGGATTACAATCGTGAGTGCACACAGCGTTCTGCGTGCAGAGGAAACTCAACAGGAAGTAGTTTTTATTCCAGCAGTGTGATGTTGAACAGCTGCTGTAAACGGCATCCCCACTGCAGGGGGAGGAGGAGGGCTGGGGGCCAAATGAAACTCCATGCATGTGTTTGGACTGTGGGAGGAAGCTGGAGCGCCTCGAGGTGATGAACCACCGCCAACAAACAAGCTGCTTGAGTTCTTTGTTTTCTAACGTCTGTCTTGTGCAGAGCGCAGCCAGATTTGTGTTAATCGCAGCCTGGATCATTCACAGTGATGTTACTGTGAAATTCATCTTTAACTTTGGTTATTTTGTGTTTATTCAGACACACTTACACATTGTAATGAAATCATAGCAGCTTCCATGAGCTCATTTCGAACAACACATCTCTGCACACGAGGTTTATGCTGGAAAAGCACGTCTGTTCCTACCACCTCATTTACAAGTCAGTATTCACAACGACTACTTAAGGAAGGAGAAGCCACTACATGCAGTTACCTTCACGTGTTTTCACTTCTCGGGCTCCATGAAGAAGCTTCTTTAACCCTCATAATGTCCTCCCGATTTCCATGCACCTGTGGTCCTCAGGGGTCAAAAATGTCCCCACTTCGAGTGTTTTTTAAAGTATAAAGTATAAATTGTTCAATCAATTCAGTGTTACACCTTAGTTTATACTTAAGACCAACACATTAACACAAAATTTACCCAACATTATACATTTTAGGGCCGCCAGACCTTGTTTAATAAAGATACTGTTGTTTTAGCGAAAACAAATGAATGAACAATAAAATATTTAATTGTTTAGATAAATTTTACTATTTGTCTAACTACAGAGTTGCTGTGTTGAACTTTAGTGAGAAAGTTTTTTTGAAGCGTTTATAAATTTTAAATGGCAGCACATAATCACAGCTGTGGTCCTCAGGGGTCAAAAATGTCCCCATCTGGTTTGATTGATACTTAATTAATATGAAGTGGATTTTCCACCACTTTTAATTAAAACTTAATTCAAACATTTTGACACAATTTATTTTATTCCATTTCAAATTTAAGTCTGATAAAAACCTCATAAAAATGATTTTTTTCTTTGTTTTCGGGTAAAAAATAAATTAAATCATCAGTTATTGTGATTATTGTTTCACAACCAGAGTCGGCTGCTTTAAGGACTTGTTTTAGACGACGTGACGGCCGGAGAGAGCAAACGCAGACAAACTCTTTGTCTTCACACTGTTGCTTCTGTTTGCTCTGAATTTCACACTCTTTGCTAAAATCGAATCGATTTTTCTTTAATGGAAACACGAGCAGAGCGTCGTTCACACACGCAGCTGAGCACGCTCAGATCAACGTGCACAGAGGCGAGGACTGCTGTACAGTTTTTATGTCCTTTCTGCTGCTTTCTAGGATTCGTGTGGAAATTTTTGTTCTTTGTTCTGCAAACCGCTGATTTGAAAATGTTCATTTCTTTATATTTTATTAGATATAAAACTATCCAGCTGTTTCCAGCTGTGACACTAAAGGGATTATTAATGAATCAGGTAATGTCTGTTTAGGATTCTGCAGAATCAGTGCGTCTGCTTTATGGACTTTAAGTGTTTTTGAATACTAAATCTTTCCCTAAGGTTATGGCTGTTATTACAGTTTTTTCTGACTGCTTAAACCCTAACTGTGATTCCTGTAGCACAATCTCTAAAACTATTCAGATTTATAGCAAAACCACTCACTGAGTTTGCAAAACTAAAAGCACAAAAACTGCTTTGCACTCAGTTTGCAATTTTGTAACACACACTTTGCAAAACTGTAGGCACAATTCACTGCACAACACTCAATTAC